TCTTCATTCTTACTCTGTGTCACTCCTTTGTTGTATTCTCAGTATTTGTCTTGTCTTCATTCTTACTCTGTGTCACTCCTTTGTTGTATTCTCAGTATTTGTCTTGTCTTCATTCTTACTCTGTGTCACTCCTTTGTTGTATTCTCAGTATTTGTCTTGTCTTCATTCTTACTCTGTGTCACTCTTTTGGTGTCTTTCTTACTCTAAGCTCTGGTTCTCGTAAGTTTTTAACGTATTATCTACATCCACGTTGTTATTTTTTATTCTTCTTTACAGTATTTCTTCTTTTATTTTTTGTTTATTCCTTCAAGTGTTTCCCCCTCCCGTCCACCATTACTGATTTGGCACAGTTATTAATATAACCAGCTTAATTTTCTCCATCTCAACATAAATGCACCTTATGAATTTAGAAAATATAACAGAAAGGAGATAAAAGAATATTTGGTCAAAGCAATTGTTCTATATAAATCATTCAGAAAAGGCTGAAGTATTCATAACAGATCTTATAATTGAGAAAACATACATCGTATAGAAGAAATATAGAAAACAATATTATGGAAAGAGTGAAGCCTAGTTCAAAACATTCTGTTTTGTACCCCTTCCAAAGAGTGACTTCAAAATTAGCCCACATGTAGAGAGAAATACCTTGCGAAGTACGTTTGTAAAAACAGAAACTATTCAAAACAGGCCTAATATTGGGCCAATAATTATATATAGAATAATTGTGTGATATAAAGCACAATTGTACTTTGAATTCTGGGAAATTTAATAGCTAATACTATAACAAAAGAAATTATATTCTCGAAAAACTTTCTTTTAAAAAAGTAGCATTACAACAACAAGTGTAATGGTTAAAAACATTAATCTGCTCACTTCACGGAAATACGAATTATCCTTCCCGTGCTCAGAGACAGAAGTCCGGTGAGAAAATCGGCGTTGCTGCCAACTAGCAACACCAGTAAGTTCTGGAGAAATTAGTTGATATTCCATTCTAAAATAGAATATTGTTAAAAGTTTTAATGAAAAATATAGCAGTATTCAGATGTAGTATTACCTTGGTTCTTTCTCTCACTTTCAGTTCTGTTATGTCTCTCTTTTTCCAGCTCCTCCACAAGGGATTCTACAAAACACGAGCTTATATTGATGAAACCCTTAGAGACAGACAGAAAGATAAACAGACAGACGAACAGTGAATATATATATATAGATAGGTAGATAGACAGAAAGACGGATAGATAAATAAATAGACAAAAACACAGACAGATAGGTAGGTAGGTAGACAGAAAGGCGGATAGATAGATAGACAGACACACAGATAGATAGATAGTGTGCATGTGTGTATTTTTCAGCAACTTTTCCTTTTCTCACAAACCTACATGGATCTCTGGATTTGTTTTTTTTTCACAATCACAGTTACATTATAACCACGCATCATTACGTCTATCTTGCATATAACACCAGAGTCAAATTATTGCATGACGACGACCTGAACTCAGTCGTTCGTATAAACGGAGACGACCCCAGTACGTATATACTGAAAAACCTTACATACACACATAAAAAAGCGGCCTTCCATGGTGGTGGGTTCTTCATTTGTTTTTAAGACACAGAGGATTAGATATATATACCTGGATTGCTGGTGATCTCTGACAAGCCGTCTTTCATGCAAGCACGCGCGCAATTTCACCAACTTTCACAACAAAAGAAATATAATAGGCAGAAACTCGGGCTTGCAACACTCCTCCCTTCATGGCTACACAACTAACTAAGCCCGCGAAAACCTAGAGAGTGGATAGGATAGAACAAGGGTTTACAGGTATTGAAGATAGTTTCTTTTGGATGTGACTAATGTTTTATCTGTTGCCCTTTACTAAAACAAATTAGAATATAGTCCTATACATACTGACTTTCCTGCCTTAACGCTTAACAGGTAGACAATCATTTTACCGTATATAAAATATATTTGCGTGTCATCAAGCATACAGAACATTTCACTAACTGAAAAGGTGAAAATCCCAATAGCAATCCCGTTCAAATAAACCTTCCTTATATTAGGGATGAATTTCAAATGTAGATGCTACACCGACGAACCGCGCAAGAAAACCGGGGGAAAAAAAAAAGAGTTTGTTCGTGGAGCATAAATCAAATCATTTTCAAGTGTCGACTACGGTACGCTGAAGTTTGTTTGTTTGTTAGGATAAAGGGTTACGTAGCTTTAAGAAAGACTTAACTTGTAGTGGTAGACAACTAAGTTCTGTAGTTTAAAGAAAGCGATTCAGGAAATATGATTACGTAGTTTTCGGAAAGTTGTGATTTGTGACAGTAG